CCTCAGCTTGAACGCGCACCGCAGAATCAGAGAAGACACATCTGACAATCGTTTTTTCTGGTGGGTGTTTTTCAAATTGTGACCCCAAAGGTCTTTTTGATTCAGTGTTGAAAGATTTTTTTAATTGAATATAAATACAGTTTTATTCAAAACTGAAAATGTATTTATAGTGGCCATATAGGGTTTATTTTATATGTGCAAAATATTTCCAACAAAATCTCACTTCCTCAGAATGTTGAACGTATGATAGATGATAGATGGATGTAATGGTTATGTAATTATGTAATGGCTTCACAGGAATCAGTCCCTCCATCTCCATCTCAAGCATTATGGGGTGAACTGTGATGACTGGCTGCTGAGATTGATGTGTGGCGGAGTGGAGATCCGCACCATCTATGCTGGCCACAAGCAGGCCAAAGCTTGCGTGATCTCTCGGCTTAGCTCGGAGAGAGCAGGCACACGTTTTAATGTCCGAGGCACAAATGACGACGGCCAGGTGGCCAACTTTGTGGAGACTGAGCAGGTACGCCAACAATATGAGTCACCTGCAAGTCACCTCTGATCTCACTTCCTTAACCCTTCAGTAGTCTTTTGTCATTTTAATCTAAAAAGGATTTAGGTTTAGATTTTTTTTACTTTTCTGGAATGGTACGAAACTCAGTGACTTTTACAACCACATGGCACCAATCTGACATAAATACCTTTTGCTCTGTTTTTAACCTAAACACTGTATTAATTGAAAATATCAAATACATGTTTTTCTAATATTTGTATTATTTTATACAGAAATAAAAGGTGCTTAATTTAGAGGTAAATATTATCTTGAACCATGAAATCCCCTCAAAATACAAAATGTTAAAGAAAAAATATTATTGAAACAAAATATAGTACATCCATTTCTTTAAAAAAGTTACACTTATTGTTTTTCGCTCCACTGAAGATGACAAGTGTGACTTCTAAGTGAGGTATACTAGAGGGTTAAATGTCATATATGGCATGCCAAGACTAAGATTGTTTTTATTTATATTCCCTACAGGTTATTTTCCTTGATGACAAAGTATCTTCCTTCATTCAGATCCGAGGGTCAATACCCCTGTTCTGGGAGCAGCCGGGAATTCAGGTACAATAAAGCCTTGTATCAATATGATGTATGCTTGTATTCAAATCACACTGAGGAAAAATATTTGAATTGCGCTCCACTGAATTGAGCTTGCTGGAGTTCCAAGCCCCTGCTGTCTCATCATAATGAACTTATTCTTTTGTGTTTCCACTTCGTCACACATGGCCAGTGCTGACCCCCTTTATTCATATTATCAGAAACACTCATTTCAGGGGATTATGTTGCAGCTGAATCAAAGTCGAGAGGCAAAAGGACAGCATGGAAACCGACAGCTGGTATATCAAAGCTTTAGTTTTGTCTGGTGGATGATCTGTCCTTCACTGCAAAGAGTTTGTGCAATGTCAGTCTGTGAAAGCTGCATCTAAACCGACCGTGATTCATTTTGGAAAGGATCCAGATTCTGATAAATCTATTGGCGTCTTGTGAAATCGAGTTAAGATGCCAGCAAGCAGGTCAGGTGTCTTTCCTCTGACATTGCATAGACATTATCATTGTTGCTTTTAGTGGGAAGCTGGTGAGGTGACCCTTCTTGAGCTGTTTTTCAAAGCTTTGCACAGAACCCGAATGAAAGGTCTTCTGTGTCACTTCAGGCCATAGTGGTATTGGTTAAGGGATTCCATTGTCTTCAGTGCAAAGCTAAGTTCAAAATAAAGGATGTAGAATCACCACAGGATCCCAGAAAGCTCAAGGAAATGTGAGCTGATCTCTGCTGCCATTCCGAATGTATGAAATATTAATGGCAGGGACCTGCAGAGGCAACAAACAGAATTGGGTGGGACTCTGACGGACTGAGTCTAAATAAAGCATAAATGTCCAACAGTTCTAAACCTGAGATCTTCAGCCTTTTTGAATTCATGTCTCCCTTGTTGCAAATAGAGGCAAAACAGGTACTATCTTATACATATTGATAAAAAAATAACAAGTTAACATTTTTAAATGTATTGCAAATGTAAATACATTGCATTAAAATAAGTAATAATGATTTTATTTATTTTTTCATTAATTTTTTTAATACATTTTTCATTAATTGGAATAAAGTTGAAATGAAATAAAATGTTAATATTAGATGCAAAAACGTAAACTTATGAAACTTAAACCAAAAATTAGAAATTCGGACATTTATTTTAATTTTATTTCAGAAAACTGAAATACAAATAACTTGAAGTACTAAAAAGAAATGAAAGCTAAACTGAAATAAAAATGACTATTGATATTTTAGTATTAATAATAATACTAAAAAATAAATAGATTTTTCACATTGGCAGACCATCTGCAGTGCCATCGCAGGCCCCGTGTTGAAGACCCTTGGTGTAAAATGTTGAATAAATTGGGTTCAAAGGCGTAACTATTTCAGTGGCCGAGTTATGAGACTGCTGGAAATGAGAAGCCAGTCATAGCCTAGAGATGGGAAAGTCCTCTGTATAGCTTACCTATTGTGGTTGTAGGTGTGAATGGAATACATTATACTGAAGGATGTGAGAGTGGTCGAAAACCATTATTATGAAGGAGCTTCCTGCAACTATTAAAAACTGCAGCTAGCTAACATTAGCATCTGAAACTTCTGTGTAGAGCACGAATCGTGACTGTCTAGCCAGGATTCATGTGTTTCCTGGAATGATCGGCATCCCTGTTAGATCTTCAGGCTTCAGTGAGCTTGTGAAATCATTACAGATGGTTCCACTGTCTTATTCTGCGCAAATGTTTTTCGTATCTCAAATGCAGCTCAACTCCGCAGGCGGGCCAGGCCTGTGTGGTCTTTCTATTGCTGTCTCTCTCATCTTCCTTTCCTTCTGCCACCTTAATTTCCTCTTGCACCAAATATGAAACAACTCAACTCACAATTCTTCCTTTTTTTGTTCTTTCTTTGTCTTTCCACAAAGGTCGGATCTCATCGTGTTAAGCTGTCTCGTGGTTTTGAAGCAAACGCACCGGCTTTTGAGAGGTAATTAAGATTCTGCTGGTCTCTGATGATGCTTGCTCTAGTATCCAGCTGTTCTGGCTCTGGCCCAAGTGTTAGTGCATGATGAAAGCAATCCAGCAGATATTTGCGGTGTATGGGCCCTGCTTCAAACAGTCCTGTTATTTAACACCGTCTGGATGGGCAAGCTCAGTCATATCTAAGGATGTATTTTCAGCTAGTCGGTGGGTAATTAAGGTCCACCAGAGCCCGATCAGATGGATTTCATAGTCGGCAGTTACACACAGAACAGCTGGATTAAGTGTAGCAGGGGGTCTCGAGGCATCATTTAAAAGTTGAACTTTTTTGACTTAGCTTTTTGCGGTCTTGTTGACCGCTTATGGTGTCTTAGAAAAATCAGCACTGATGGCGTGAGATGCTGAAAACGCAGTGTAAGATCTCTAGCCCCTTAGTCATGCTGATATAAACACAATTCTAAACCCATTATCTGCAAGTAATCATTTGACCATAAAAATACATCTAAAAATAATGGGCCCACTTTGTATTAAGTGTCTTTAACTACTATGTACTAATATTTGAATTAATCATAATCATTAATCATACAATGCATGTTATTACCTTGTACTTGTATTTAAAAAAA